AACTATCATTTTAAAAACGGATCTTCAACTTTTAAAAGTCAGCATAATTGTTTAGTCATCCTGGTAATCCGCTCAATTTAACGCGCGAAGTCAAATCCGTTCAGCCTACGTGCATTCTCCGCCGTGGAATTTCCTCCTCAATGAAAGGGATGAGGCAAAATGGGAGATGATACGCCACTCCGTTTTGACGACGGGGAATCTAATAAATTAACTTCTCTTTGATTCTTCCCGGTACATTTTGGTACACTTCGACGAGGACTCTAATAAAGCGCAATTTACGAGAGACATTCCGAGATAAAAGCTTTAAGGCTGTAGCGTTGGTTACTGAGGTTGCCGGCGCAAGCATTTATTCAGATTTCAAAGTGCACCTGTGTCATGGTGGGTGCCCTCAAAAATGAAGGCTGAATCTTGTTTCACTGTTGTTAAAGCAGTTGTTCAAAATTGACGGAGACATGTAAGTCCTTATGCCAGGCCCCATTTACGATTAGGCGGAGAGTAAAACAACTTTGCATCTACTTTGAATTTATGATCTGTTTTGTGCAAATGTGGAATACTTATACTCACAATATATATTCTGTCGGCCTCCTATACAACTTATTGGTTTGATATATCCCTACAATTTTTTCAGTGTAAATACTGTAATTACAAACAATTGTAATTCAACATAATACCGTAGTTACAAGAATTATTAAATACTTATTTTTCTGAAAGGACTCAAGTTTTTTGCTCATCTTAATGGACCACTAGACAGGGTACGAATTTCAGCATTCTGATACATGTTTCTTAAACAAAATTTCACGTAAAACACGGCGCGCACAACGAAAATTACCGAAATTAACTCCTGACGAAGATATTTAATGATTCTTAATGCGTAAATTCAAACCACCCGCTCACGAAAACTCAACGCTCTACGTGATTCACATCGCGCGCTAAACGTTATCATGACAGTCTCTGCTATATTAAAATCTGGCAACCTCAATTTGACGCTTTGGCTCAGCTATAGCAAATTGCTTATAGTTTGAACAACAAATGGTGGGAAATGAACATTGTTCGATTGAGAAGATTGCTGAAACCGTTGTAGTGCACGGTTTGACTCACGTAGAGCTTTGAGTTTCTTGTGAGCGGGCAGTTCAAATTCCTCGTGACCAATGTGAAGTAAAAACGTTAATATCTTCGTTAGGAGTTCGTTTCAGTAATATTCGTTGCGTTAATCGTGTTCTACGTGAAATTCTGGTTAAGAAACATGTATCAGATTGCTTAAATTCGCACCTTGTCTAGTGGTCCATTGAATCAGTGAGAACGAAAACACACCAACTCGGTAACTCAAAAATGCTCAGTTTTCATTAAAGAGAGTCAGTTTTCATGAAGGTAAGTGAAGTTAACGCATATGTTCCAGCTAGGACCTTGAAAAAGTCCTTAAGTACTCGTCTTTCGGCACCAAAAATCTTTTTCTTGCACTAATTTCTTCAACTACTGTGCAGTTTTGCGTGCACTGGAAAAAAAAAATACATTGGATCTAGAGTCCAGACTCTTGAAAACATTGACAAGAAAAAAACTCTTGATTCAATCAGATTTTTGCTTAAATCAAAAGGAAATCCGCTCAAATTATGAGACTTGGTTCTTGATTTAACCAAAAATCCGATTGAATCAAGAGTACTTTTTCTTGTCGATGTTTTTAAGAGTCTGGACTCTAGATCCAATGTGTTTTTTTTCCAGTGTGTGTCTTGATTATTTTCATTTTCTCAAGTTGTTGTGTTTTCGTTCTCACCGATTCAATTGGCAAGTTGTCGATTCTAACCATATTCGTTTTTTATGCGTTAAATTGGCACAACTGGATTCGAACCACCGGCAAGTGGACGCCGCGCGCCTTCATCTTTGCACTTGGCTTTTACTTTTAATTCCATAATCTGAATTACAGGAGTAGAAAGAATTTAAAAGCAGGCGGTCAGAGAGTTTTTCAGCCGCACTTCTGAAGGATTTCAGCTCTGAAAGGGCAGATGCTTTTGTTTTCCGCTCTGAATATTCTTCAGGATGACGGAGAAGCGGCTCTGTCCGTTTCAAATATTAATGCTTTTCCTCATCTTCTGACTTCTATTTCTTTTAAGTATTCTAACTAAAATCCCACAGGATTTTTCGGTAAGAGGAATATTCCGGCCCCGAGGGATGATCCCGATCTGAGCTGCCACTGGAAACTTAATAATTGAACGTGCTTACGCAAAAAAAAAATCATATGCAAATGCATAAAATCAAAATGAAATGGACTTTTATATTATATACACAAAAGAAGTCCTTTTAATACTCCTGGAATTCAGTTATTTCAAAAGTAGGATTTCAATAATTTTCAAAAAAAGCATAGCTACTACAATAAAAAAATACTTCCTGATCAAACGGAATGTCAGCTGACTTCAAAATAATTCCGTTTTAGAAACATTTTTCTCAGTTCCCCCCAATATCTCATCCAAAAATTTTACGTCATTTACTCGTCAATCGTGTCAATCTGCGAATTTTGAATTTTACGCAAATCGTGACATGAAAACTTTCAAAATTGCCAAAAACAACGGATAGTTAAAAACTGGCGTTTAAGTTGTGTTCGTATAGTATGTCTCTTTTCTTTCATGGGATTTGGTTAATTTTTATTGTACGTTAAAATTTTTTTTTACATTCTATACACATCAAAGCCAAATTCTTGGATGCTTTAACATCTAGAAAGAATTAACCTCAAGATGGCTTTACTATCTGTTCATTGGTTTTCCGAAGATCAATGGTTCAATGCGAGTTTAAATGGATACTAAAGGTAACTCCTGTAACTTCACGTGAATTGAGTGTTTTTCGTCAACAAATTCAAATTTCAATTGGATTATATTGTAATTGACAATGTATTTTCAATTCATTTTTGCAACATACTTAACAGTGGCGAGGCGTGAATGATTGATTATTATCGATATATCCCCATTTCAAGCTGTGGTGAAGAATCGATTATAAAGGTGTTAGGTGCGAATATCCTGTCCATCGATATTTTTAATCGGTTTAAATGACGGATAAATCGATATATCGCAAAGCACGCCCGGCCTCTGATACTTAATTGGGCGGTAATCATGACTGTTCCCTACTCCGTGTTCCCACCGGATAAAAAGTCGGAGAACATATTTTTTTCGTACACTAGCCTACTTATGCAGGCTTTGCTCAGTTAAGCTGTAGAGAATATTCAGGTTTCCCGAAACATCTGCTGGAAAATTCGGAAACTTCACATCTCGTTACTCAAAAGCGGCGTGAGGGCCACAAAAAAAGCGTGACTCAGGCGGCGCAAGGGAAGCTTTGAGGGGTTCGGAAAAAGGAGACAGGGGAAAGAAAATTGAGAAAGAATTTACGGAGGGGTGGAATATGTATAGCGGGCTCCTTGCCCGGGGCTAACAGGTTATTCCGAAAGCATTGAGGGCTCAGCCCTGTGCAGGGGATGCAGCTGAAATTGAATTAAGGAGCCATGCCGAGCCGACTCCGTTGACAAATTTGGCTCTCGGGTCTCTCGCTGACAGAGAAGTTGGTATACTTCAGCTACAGAGAAATCTCCCCATTTTCATTGACGAAAACCGTCCTGTGCTAATCTACAGTAAAGCCAAAGTAGAGTTGATTTACTTCAATCGTTTTCAGCTTGTTGTAAGTATTGGAATAAATCATCAGAATGATATCTTGTTCGTAAATTCCCATTATGACCGCCGCACAATGGATTGAGTCTATCAGAGAGGTCGGACATGAAATTTTTGACTAAAACTGCAATTTTTTATATCTATTTCGTCACATTATAAACTTTAAGGGGTGCTTCTGGAAGAAAAATTCACGAGAAAACCAATGAAACCACTTTTAGAACTTCAAGGTCTTGTATAAACGGAGTTATAAGCGTTTAAAGTTTCCAAATTTTGTCCGACCTCTGCAATTGGCTCGATCCACCGTGCGCCGTGAGTCAGACCTCGTGCGCAGTCTCCAAAATTTTCGACGAAATTACACTCTCCATACAGTCACGAGACAATCTAAGTAGCATTTTTCAGCCAAAAAATCGCTATATTTAGAATTAAGCTACGATTATTTGACGATCAAATTGCTAAAATTATCAACATCTGAGCGATTATCCTGAATCTTGTCGCAATTTTATCTCAATAAAATCGCGTTCGATAAAATCGAAATTTTAACTCAATTATCACGGTTTTTTGTTCGATAATATTGCGATAAATAGCCGCCGATAAACTCGCGATACATTCTTTGATCAAATTACAACTTGTCGCGATCACTACTACTTGGGCAAAAGAAAAATCATAAACAATAAATCGGAGGTTTTCTTGGAGATAGTGGTTTTAGGCAAGTTTTAGGCAGTTGGATTAGGCAAGTGGCCTCCTTGCTTTCTGATTACGGATAAATACTACCTCGACTTACTAGTACACGCACCGTAAACCAAAGGGATGAGAACATGCAAAAAATTCAATTATTTTGCGGAGTGGCTATTCACTCATTCAGAGCTATAGTTATTACTACAGCGACAGTTGAACTTTTCGGTTGACTCAACGCTTCCGGAAATTATTAACTGGAAAATTCCCAGTGTAGCATAGAGCATAGCACATATGTGATCGACAATAATAAGCGCAACACTTAAACAGGATATATATTAATCATGTTTTCCAAACAATCAACAATTCATTGTATTTCCTCAATCACTGCGTTGTTCCATTTTTGTTGACTTTTTTGGGGCTTTTGTGAAAGGTCGATGAAGAACAGTAGGTGCGGTAGCAGTACAGGTACTTGGTAACCAGGGTTATAGCGGATGATTTAGTCTTCGAAAAATAAGGCGTTTCTTCTCTTTTATCTTTGTTTCATGGATAAAAGCACGTAATCTCATGTATATACCCACCTCCACACGTCACACATTTACATAGCAGCTCAAACACAGCTAAGGAGATATTTTATAGTATGAACTTGTTATTAAGAGTATAGCGTCAGAGAAATGATTTTACCTGGATACGAGCTTCGTTGAGTTTTGTCGTCCTAGCTAATTCTTCTCTGCAATAGATATCTGGATAGTGCGATTTGGCAAAGGCTGCCTCTAATTCTGCTAATTGTTCCTGAAAAACAAATGAAAATTGTGTAACATTTTTCTGCACTTCTGGTCGTAAATACAGTCAATTATATTAGTGCAATGCCAGCAAGTTGGGCCGGTCTGTTTAATTTCCGACTCCTTGATGGAATGAAACGTTTGACAAACAGAATATTTTATGAGTGATTTGAACCTCTGAAAGAGAACGAAGTTTACGTTATGCTACACTGAGTATACATATCGACAGAATGCATTACGTTTTTTAAAGGTTTGAATAGAAATATTATCAACTCTAGAGTAAAGAAACCTATAGTTATTAATTTTTTAATTTTTTTTATTCCTCATGTATTTATTTTCCATTTATTTTCCTCAATTAACGCATTCATCTAGGGTGGTATGACAACTCACCTAAACTTTTTTAAATTTAATTAATCTCAAACAGAGGAAAAAAATCACACAAAAACCGTGATTGATAAAATTGATGCTCTAATACAAAATATAATCGTTTGGTAAGTTTTACTCTCCGTTACAGAGAGAAACTTAAAAATCGATACATTACATATCTGCGAGTGATCTTAGTGACCCGCTTTGAAAGGGCCTCATTCAAATCAACATTAATTTTAAGCCTATGTAGACGGTGTTTGATTTTGGATTTTGTGTTTACCTGTGTGAAAGTGGTCCTATGCCTCCGTCGAGCAGGCGTTGGGCATGCTGCGGTGGTTGGCGTGTGGGGTATTGAAGGTGACGGCCCGCCTAGTGGCTCATTTTTTAATTTCTTAAAAGCTCCTTCCACACCTGAAACATTTAATTCCAGAAATTGATAGGAAATGATTTAAAGTCATCACAAATGTTGAAGCTCTCTTACAGCTACACTGGAAAAAAAAAACACATTGGATCTAGAGTCCAGACTCTTAAAGACATTGACAAGAAAAAATACTCTTGATTCAATCGGATTTTTGCTTGAATCAAAACGAAATCCGCTTAAATTAGAGGCTCGGTTCTTGGTTTAAGCTAGATTCTGATTGAATCAAGAGTAGGTACTTTTTCTTGTCGACGTTTTTAAGAGTCTGGACTCTAGATCCAATGTGTTTTTTTTTCCAGTGTATGAACATTTAAGTCTGTTGGTGTTTTGTTGCGTTAAAATCGGTACACGAATCTTTAATTTAAGTATATTAAACGGTCGAGTCCAGTGGCGTGGCGTGCTTTGCGATACATCGATTGATTTGTCATTCAAATCTATGGAAGGGGATCGATAAACAGGGTGTTCGCAGCGAACACCTTAATAATCGATCTTTTACCATACGTTCAAATGGTGAAATATCGATAATCGATCATTCACGCTACGCCACTGGTAAAGACAGTGAGTGTGCTCTGAAGATTAGTCATTAGGCACTATCATGGCGTCGATCCTAGCCTACCGTTGCCAGATTAAAAGTCTACTTTTGAGAGTTTAAAAAATTAGCTGTTTCCTGGGAGACACACATTCGACGAATGATACAGAAAGGGAAAAGTAAGGGATTTAACACATTCCGCTACAACCATCGGTCCCTTAATTTGAGACAAAACCAAAGGCGAAGCGTCAATGATCGATTATCGATATTTCACAAAGACATAAAGACGGAGTGCTCGTATCTAAAAGCACGGGGAAAAAGTGAAGCCTAGTTTGGCGCTGGGTGCTTGTGTGAGTGTGTAAATGAGCGCGGGAATCCATGGCGGCAAACGGAAATTTGATTTGAACTTGTCCTCTTGATTTTTCCCCATTTCTTCTTCTAAACGTGTTTTAAATGCCTAAAACGATTATATTAAGAAAGTTCGGTCTGCGTCCTAATATAATACACCTACTTTTGCTCAGTAATAGGCAGTAATCTCAGATAAAGTTAGTTTTTCTTCTGCTCATGGTGGTTCTGCAGGTTCAAACAGGTCGTTACAGTTCTAGATGACCGTCACTCCCAAATGAAATTAATCGGTCGACGACGGACCAAAGCTAACCTAAAGTTAAAGAAATATGAGTGGGTAAGTGAATTTGGGCAAAAATCAACCTAGAATACTTTGTTTCCGCAATTATTTTATTCAGTTCCCGCCCTATATTTGAATTCAAACTTGTCCCGATTTCGCCGCCAATCCTCTAGCCAATAGTAGAGGTGGTTGAAAAGAAGCTTCATTTTTTGCTTTTAGCCCTCCGTCTTTATGTCTTTGATATTTCACTATATTTGAAGCTATGGTTAAGAATCGATTATTGAGGTGCTCGTTGCGAACACAGAACACACCGTTTGTTGATCCTTTTCCTTAAGTTAAAATGACAGATAAATCGGTGTATCGCAAAGCACGCCACGCCACTGGACAAAACTTTGACTGGTCCACAGTCAGCTCAAGATTAAGTTCCGATGTGAGCTCCCTAGAAGTCAAACCAGCCTCTATTTCTCTCTGTCCCCCTCTCCCCCTCCCTCTCATAGTATTAACCTGATCCTCATTCTCACATATTCATGATTATTCAGGGTCGAATCAAGAAGGCCCATCTCATCAGAGATCAATCACCGTTTGACCACAAGGGAGGAATACATAGACTTAGCCAGAGGCCAATACTGCCGGGCTAAGAAAGAACGTCGTATGAAACTCTAGGCGTTGCCAAATTTGCTTCGACTAAATACGGATTTATCGGAAAAGTTGCTCATATTTTTCTCCTAATTTTTCAGACAGTTTCGTCCGCAATTTCATCTGAATCATCTGAAAATTTTAAGGGAAAATATGCTCAGCTTTCCTCAAAAATAAAAATTTCATCCGGGGAAACTTGGCAAATCTCGAATGCTCATACGACGTTCTTTCTTAGCACGGTAGCATGCAGATTCGACCTTAATCGGCATTTTACTTTCAGGAAAATTTCAACATCATTGGAACTAAAAGCCATCGCCCACTTCCATCACGCCGTTTATGTCTGCGATACTGATGAGAAATTTCGAAGTAACCTAACCGAACGATATATTTCACGTCGCATTCCACGGAATATGTAAATTCCGGGGAGCTTTTAACACTGATAGCGCCGTTGAAGAGGGGAGCCGTCGAGGAACAAAGCCGACTGGGGCGGTGGAGGAACCGGGGGTCAGTGGGGGCGGGAAGTGCTTTTGAATATTCAGCGTCTTCGGGATCAGGATAATCGGCCCCCCCGCGTAACTGGCTGATGCATTCAATTAATAACGCCGTGAGCTGAACTTGCAATTGATTCGGGGTGATTTTGACCACGTTGAAACGGTTAAGTCCTTATACTGGCTTGAGATTAAACCCGCCGGCTTATTGTTGAAATTGATAGATAAAGCTATAGACAAAGAGGACTTAAGGGTTCTAGAGCGATCCTATTGGTTGAGATGGGTGGTTCTTATAGACTAAGGGGGTAAATGATGGACTAACTATTGGCTCTTTCGTGGGTTGCCGTTAGATAGTTTATTATCTACGTCATTCGTTCATTGCAATTTAATCACCCACATCCACCAATAGGATCCTCACTGGAAAAAAAAAAAAAAAACACATTGGATCTAGAGTCCAGACTCTTGAAAATATTGACAAGAAAAAGAACTCTTGATTCAATCAGATTTAAGCTTGAATCAGAAGGCAATCCGCTCAAATTAAGAGGCTTGGTTCTTGATTTAAGCTTAAATCTGATCGAATCAAGAGTATTTTTTCTTGTCGATGTTTTTAAGAGTCTGGACTCAAGATCCAATGTGTTTTTTTCCCGGTGCTCTTTATCCTTTTTGTCTTCTTTGTCTATAGCTTTGTCTATCAATTTCAACGATCAGCCCGCAGAGCAACTGGGCGCGGACGCACGCAAGAATATAATGAGCTAGCTAATCATCTCCATGCGCCTTCAAGTAGCCGGTTATACCAAAACAGTCGCATTAGGGCAGGTTTTGTATGGTATCACCGTTTGGGTTCTTCGAGATAAATGGAATAAAGTCAGATGGGCCTTTAAGGGGACTGTCCAGTGCAGGGAAGAAACCAGGTATTTTCGAGTTCCAGATTTCCGTCCTCAACTCTCTTTTATAATTTTAAAAACACTGGTTCTTTTCAAGCCATACCCTGTGTCATCATCTCGGCCTTGTGTATCTTCTTCATTCATTATGTTTAGTTATCACCGCAACCGTAGAGTTGTGGAGTATATTGCTACAAAGGTGGTGATGATGATTGGTTCTATAAAAAAATTGTGGGTTTATAAATATTGAAGGAAAATTTTTGTTGCAAGGACGGTTAGAATTCTTGAAAATTGGCTACACTGTTTTTTCTCCAAAACAATCGATTCTTGGTGAGGCAGCTTACCTCAACTAAAATCGATATTTCTAATGGATTTAAATGGAGGAAAAACACTGTTGCCAACTTGTCAAATCGCCACCGACCATACCTCATCGATACGCCGACGGCCGACGGCCGACACACCCACAAGCGGCGCAGAGACTCAGCTGGAAAACCCCGGCAAAAAAGCCAGATGTCCACGCCACGAAAGTCCGTAGAACTGCAAATCGGGACAAAAAACCCTTTAGCTCGGGCTCGCGGATGCATGCGCTCCCCGCCTACGCGCTAATGGGCCGATAATCATCGAATCCCGTTAGCCCAATCGGATTTCCTCGAGTGTGAACGCCTCTCCGCGGGCCGCGCCGCGGCAGGGCCGAGACAGGTGGGGGCGCCCCCACCGCGAGGCGCGACCCCCCGCGATTCCCCGCCTGAGCACAATGCCAAACACATTGTGTTATGATTAGCCCAAATCTCATCGCCGCGCACAATCGAGCCGCGATCCCTTCACGCACGAGATGACCCGGGCCCAAGCGGTGCTGCCACCAAGCCACAACCTCACATTTTTTCAGTCTCGCAGCCCATGTCCGTCAACAGTTCCGGGATTCGAAACTTTCTTGTTCCAATGTCTCCCTCTCTATGACCATCAAAAGTTCCGGGACTCCTTTTAGATTTTTCTAAAGTTCCAGGATTCCTTTTATATATTTTCAAAAGTTCCCAGAAAGTTCCGGAAACTGCACTGGAAAAAAAACCACATCGGATCTAGAGTCCAGACTCTTGAAAACATTGACAAAAAAGGACTCTAGATTCAAGCAGATTTAAGCTTAAATCAAAAGGAAATCCGCTCAAATTAAGAGGCTTGGTTCTTGATTAAAGCTTAAATCTGATTGAATCAGGAGTATTATTTCTTGTCGATGTTTTTAAAAGTCTGTACTCTAAATCCAATGTGTTTTTCTTCCAGTGTGCAAAAGATCCAGAACATTTCGGGAATTTTATAAGCTCGGAGAATAATTCAGGGACATCTCGGAAGTTCCGAAATTTTGAACAAGTTCGGGATTTGGAACACTGCTCGCAGCGTAAAAGCATGGAGCTACAATTTCTGCATCATTTTGAAATCATCATGAGTGCCATTAGTTTTCCTATGAAGGTAGGTATTTTTATCTGGGAACCAGAAATTGTTGTTCCTAATTTCAAAATGTAGTTCAAATCTCAGTTGTGTTCAGGCAAAGATTTTTCTAAGATTTTGGATAGTAGAAAAGTAAATCCCTTTGATCAAATGAACACTCTCAAAGTTTCAATTTATGTAGCTCAATGGATTAAACAAATATCGGGGTTACGCGGGGCATCAAGATCACGCTGAATAATGGGCTAAGTAAGAAACCCCAAAACCAAAGATGAAAAAGATTGGATGATGCCCTGGGTTCAACGCTGGAAGGCAGTTTTAATAAGAAAAGAAGAAAGAGAGTGAATAAAGAAAGAAAGGAAGAAAGAAGTGAAGAAAGTTAAGAGAGTGTGGTGTGAGTAAAAGTTGGCAACAGGGGAGTCCCGGTTTTAAGTCGGTCAATTATCGCTCTTCCGCGTTAATTTTGCCGGCCAGCGCGTGCCAATTATCCGGAAGCTAAAAGATGTCCTCAACCCAATCGTTGGCCTTGCGGTCACCCATGTCGCGGAGTTCACACCTGCGAGCTGAGTTGCAATTTACGCTAAAATCCTAACGAACTTTATTACATTTTCCATCAAAAAGTTGTTTTTATCGGTGAAAGTGACAACAACTGCCGGGATGTCAGAAATATTGCCCCCGATGCTGTTGATTGAGTCTAGAAACGGATTTGTCATTCGGTTCGTCAGGACAGCCAACTCGAGCAGAGGGTATGGTCTTCATAATTACGCATGATACCTCATATCAATAATAAATATCCATTTGACGTGGACTAAATCCAAGTGTTGAGACAATACAGGGTTTTTTTTCTAAAAAATTCAAGTAGATTACGATTTAAAAATTATGAATGAGGGATATTTCACGAAATTCAGACCTCAAACGAGAGGTGAAAATATTGAGTATAAAAAATGAGTAGCGAGTTTGATGATTATTATCAAAATAATATTCTTCGGGCATATTTCCAAATTACGGCTCGATTAAAGACTCCAAAATTATGAACAAATTTGGTCAACATTATTGTACAGAGCCACTCACATAGGATACAGAAGAGCGCCTTCAACCCACTCCGTAATCTTAATGCAAAATTCTAATACCACTATTCGTGCGTCGCGACAGTCATTTTGCATAGCCGGCTAATTGAAGGCAAATCATTGGCCCACGCGACATGGCACGAATTTCAGCAATGTGATGCGTAATTTTTAAGGAGCGTTTAACAACGTGTTTGCAGTTTCGTTTTGTAAACAAGCCGAAGTTTGGGAAACTTGTTGGTCTCATGACGTCACCCGAAGTTCATCATTCACCATGTAGGGCGGTCAACAGCTGCAATAAGAGGGATGACTGTTGCTCCCTTATAATTTACTGTCGGAATTGTTGAATCCCCGAAAGTAAAAGCTTCCGCAGACTTTCGAATTTCTCCTCTCAAAGAAGGGAAGGAAATTGCTATGAACTTACCCGTGTGATCGGAGAGGTTCCTACTGGGGGAGGAGGAGTGAGTCTGTGAGGCGTCGAGGGCCGAAGTGGGTAGGTTGTAGAGGGCCGAGAAGTCCGGTGTCTCCGTTTTGGTGACGATCCGCTTATCGTGGTGATGGTGGTGGTGGTGAAGATGGTGCTCATCCATGAGCCCTAGGAGCCCTAAGTTCGGGCGCAGCTCGTCCATCAACTTCCCTTGACCTGCACACCAACATCAAAACATACTTTTACTACAGAAAGAAAATTTGCAGGTGTCTGAAATTTGATGGATTTCAAAGGATTTCAAAGGATTTGATGGATCGTGTTTAAGTGGAAACTACTGAGTGAACTGAGCACAAGGATACCCTTGGTTCATGACTTTAACAATTATTGGAAAATATATGACAAAATGATCTAATCTGCTAAAGTACGAGTGCTTAAATGGGAAATGCCGCCAGATGACGTCACTAGGCGGTGCATTTTCTCACTTAAACCTATTTTTAAACTATTTCCCATATCAGAGAAAAATTATATAAAATACTGTGAAAGCAGCTGTAAAAATTTGCATGCATATTCTTCATAACCATATGCGGCACTCTCCGTAGCCGCTAATCTACTCGATCCCTATAAGGGCACCTCACGTCCTATGCTCGTTTCGTTGCCGTGCTAAGGAAGAACGCCGTATGAACATTCGAGAGTCGCCAAATTTCTCTTGATAAAACATGTATTTATGTCAACATTCGTCCATATTTTTCCTTGAAATTTTCGGATACGTATTTTAGATTAAATTGCGTACAAAGTTGTCTGAAAATTTTGGAAAATAATATTCACAATTTTCCCATAGTAATTCGGTTTTTATCGGAGGAAACTTGGCAGCGTCTGAAGGCTCATACTGCGGTTTTCTTTAGCACGGCAGTTTGGGGGCCCTTTGTAGGTAGGCTCATCTAAGGATCTGAAATAGTTGCTTCAGACGCCGTGGCACGCTGCGGCGCAGCAAGCGGGCAGAGAGCGCGAAACGCGCATAAGCGCCTGCAAACCTAACAGGGATACTTCACGCATTGCGCAATGCGTGAAGTATCCCTGTTAGGTTTGTAGGCGTCAATGCGCGGTTGCGCAATGCGTGAAGTATTGAAACGAAAATTTAGCGACAGCGCCATGTTTTGGAGGCGTGCAGTGAGTTTGGAGTCCCTCTTGGGGGATTTTAAATTTGTCTGCTAACTTCAATAGATGGCAAGTATCTTGACAAGTTGAAAGGCTGGTTTGCGATAGCCAGGAGTTCGTGAAGTCCTGGCTCCTGGTCTTCTCTCATCGGGCCCCGTTGCCGTAAACTGCAGTTTCAGCGTATGAACGACGACTGATCCGGATGCGATCAGCGCACTACACGTGAGATAGGGTGTTTTTCGCGTTGGAGAACATCCTAAGAGCATGATGTCACGATGCAGTAGACCGCTGCGCGGTTGCCACGCCCTGCGGGAGCCAACGGGATGGCCTAAGGCTCGTAATAGTTTCGGCGGCCCTCTAGAAGGTGCGTGGCAGCGGTGCGGGGACCCTGTCTGCTGGACATCGCGTAGTCATGTTTAGAGCACTGGAATTGCTGATTTCACTAGATTTTCCGCTCGAATCGTACGAAACTGAGGGTAAGACGCTCCTAAAGAAAGATCTATGAAATCAGTCTTCTCTCAACGCGGTGACCACACTGCTCGCGGTAAGCAACACGCGGTACAGCCCCGTTGCCCCCCAGTTGGCCCCGAGAGTTTTCGACTCAAACCCCCCCCCCTTTCTCTTAATTTTAAAATTGTATTTGTTCTCTTATTTCCGGTTTTTAGAGTGAGCGTTATGCGTAGTTATTTGTTGTTGTAATTTTCCGTAAACGTCGTAGATTTGTCCGAAATAGTTTGGCCGATCCGAGGTGTCTCCGGTGGAATTACGTTATGGTGTATGATCAGTGTTGTTAGCGTGGTTCCTGTGTGTATTTTCATCATTTATCATCAACTAGTGTAATTAAAGGGAGTGGCGCCCTAAAACCCGTGCACGTTTTGATTTGGACTACTTCTCCCCATCTCTCATAAAATCAGTGATCAGACGAGCAACGAAAAGATCATCTAAGTCCATGGGACAGGTTTGATAGAACATCTTATTGCATCAGAATATCCTTGATATTAGCGTGTGTTATAGCTCTACCAATTAGTCATCATTGAGGACTTGAGGCCTCATTTTCTATACCTCAAGTGGTGGAAATTCGCCCCCCCCCCCCATGTTTCTCACAGCGGAGAAACATAAGTTTCTGGCTAAACTTTAGGGTATCCTCTCTGGTCCCTAGAGTTTTTGCCGCTTCAGTATCCCTGTTAGGTTTGTAGGCGTCAATGCGCGTTTGCGCAATGCGTGAAGTATCCCTGTTAGGTTTGTAGGCGCCAGTGCGTCGCCGCTCGTTTGTGTTAGGCTCTAATATTTAATCTCGTGGAGTCAGCGTTTTTCAACTCATGATTTTGAAATGTTTGCACACTCCGTACGGATTATTTTTATTTTAATTGATGAAAAAAATATGTTTTAAAGGAAAATATAATGTGCGTTTTGTAAATATTAAGGTAGTTCCGTATCAAACTTAATGTTTTTCAAAGCACACGAATTTCTACACAATTTCCTATTGCCTATTATAGCCAATGACGATAAAGTGTAAAACCCCGCGATAGGAACTATACTACTTACTTTTTTATAGCTTCGTATAGCTCGGCTATATGAGTTGCTCCGCTTTCTACAGCCAGCTATATGATTTTCAATAGCCTTCTTTAGTCGGATATAAGAACTCCTATGGTATTTTGAGACGCAGCTCCTACCGCCAATTTTTTCCAAGGATGTGGAAAATTCCAAGGTTGACGACAGCCTACCACTTGGTGTCGCCGTCAATTTTTTTATTCTGAGAGTCCCCACGAGATCCAGAGTAGCCATACTCTCATTAAGAAGGTACTCTATCCGGTCAAAAAACACAAAATTCCAAAATCACGCTGCAAGATCATATTTTGTCTTATCTCGCATACTTAGCAAAAACTAGTTTCGGGAATCAGCTGGCAGGTTATAACTTCTCTTTTTTTCTGCTGGTTTTATGGCTTCGCGTCTAGCACCTTCAGCCAACTATAGACTATCTTTTTGTTGTCCGTAGACATCGAGGGATTAAGGTACATCCTTGCTCCAGGCTTTTGAAATTTTCAGGGATTAAGGCCTAGTAGAATCTGTTTCAGCAGGTCTACTCGTCTGTTCCATGGAAATTTGACGCAACTACCGGGATTCGAACCCAGGACCTATTGACCTAGAGTCAGATTTACTGACCACTAGGCAAAACTGGAAAGCAGTTTAACTTAAAAAGCTATGCTCTAAGCAGAACTGTCGATTCGATTACCCACTCTGCTAACCACGATTATAGCCACCGGATTATTTTTTACTCACAGATTACCCACCGATTCCGATTTTACCCACACTTTACCCACCAGCTCCAGCTTTACCTACGTTTACCAATCAGTTTCAACTTTACCCACATTTACCCATCAACAACACCCAACTTCACCCACCGTTAACTCACCGTTTACCCACCGTTTACCCACTGTTCACCCACTGTTCACCCGCCGTTTACTGCCAAATTTGAATTTTCTTAAGGTTATTTCTTTGGATTTTAATGAAGATGAAACCCGCAGATTACCCACCGTTGTCTGGATCGCCCATGAATTACCCAATACCCACCGATTACCCTAAGGAGTTCAAAATAACCACGAAATGGGTAATTGCCCACGAATCGGTAGCTCTAACTCTACGTTAAAGGAATGAATTGGTGGAGGACTCACCAGTCTGGCCCTGGTTATGATGGTGGTGGTGATGGAAGTTGAGCTGCCGGGAGAAGATGGCCGGGAAGATGTTGAACTGCTCCGATTGGATGGATGACGTGGTCGAAGGCGAATTGGTGTTGTTGGAGGTGGAGGTAGACTCGCCGTTGGTGGGCGCCGTGTCGCCGCCCGAGGCTCCCACCGCGTCGCCTCCAGCCGCCCCGCCAGGGCCGCCCCCGGCCCCGCTTCCGCACGAGGCCTTGAAATCCAGCCCGGGGCTCCGACCGATCCGCGAGAGTCACCCGCAACACGCGCCAAAAAACTTATCCGCACAGGAAGCAACTCACCGAGAACACCGGGTTTAGTATCAGGCCGCGACGACTAGTCGCTAGGATACCCGCCGAGGGCACGAGAACCAAAATTTCACCGGATCAGGGAGTGTGTCCTAAGAAATTGTCAAAACGCTCAAGATTCCGCACAGGCTGGCAGTGTAGATACAAATTTTCGCACACAACAGCAGATCAAGCTCTAGGTAGTGCCGGACCGAAAGGAATAGGCGGTAGAATAGCCGAAAATGGTACACAATTTAAAATTTTACTAGATGACACCCGCGAAACAAAGTCTGAAGAAATTCTCAAGAATTATTCATCCTGAGAAAGTCGTAAGGGCAAGCGGCATAGACACAACTTTTTGGAGTATCACCGAGCTTTAGATCGTCGCGAATGCTGGGACGTTGAATTCCGTTGATCACAAACTGTTTTAGAAGTTTCGTAGCGTGGTTGACCAATGCGATAAACGCAGCACTGAGCGGTAAAGAATGTCACAGAAGTTTGCTCGTTGGGTTCTCTGGTAAGTTCGCGCTAGATTGTAACGTAGAAGTTGCACGAGCTTGGGATGATTCTATCGAAGAAAATGTATGGCGTGAGTTTTGTGATCAAGCTAATATCGTCTGAAAGATTAATATAGATGCTGATCGATGTCGTGATGGTCAAAAGTTTACTCTCTCCGAAATTTTTTTATGGTTGACTCACTTCGATCCGAAAATGAAAATATTTAATTTTGCGATTTGAATTTTTTCGTGGTATAAGAGCTAGATTTGATTCCGACGCTTAAAAATAAGCAAGGATGATGATAAAGACAATGAGATGAGAATTTTACCCCTTCTATTGTTGTTCAGTCAGTCTTGAATGTATGTTGACTAGATAGGAGGGATTAGAAAATAACCGGGAGTGATAGGTTATGAACTTGCTCGTGAGACTGCGGTGGACTCCCGAACTGATGGTTATTCCTGCACAATTTTACAGACTCGGACATGAGTTTTTCACTTTCTGGGATGTAGAGATTTAGAAGATCACTTCGATAACACAAGTCCAGCAGCCAAAAGATCTGCTGAATCTGCTGCGAATCTGCTAAATGCGTTGACAATCGGTCAAAATTTTTCCAGAACCGATCTAATAACTCAGCAAGTTGTAGGCAATGACCTTATTTTGATTCTAAATAAGAGTTTCTTCTCGCGTGAGTGTGCCGCGGTGCATTTGACACGCTGAGCAGATAAAAATAAGTCTAGTGGCCATTGACTCCAGTCACTGAAACAAAGATACATTTCAGTAAGTTGGCGGATGACAACAAAAGTGAGACATTTGTAAAACACGTTACAAAAAGTATTCTTCTAAAAAAGCAAAAAGCCAAAGAATTTCTATTTTGCCAAAGAGAAGTAAAAACGTCTTTACTAAATTTGAAATCGTGTAAAAAAAAAAATTGTTGGTGGTGAATATTATTGTTGAGTTGTTGAATTATTAATTAAACAGGTGCTTTAATACAAATGTTTCATTAAATTATCGTGTACCTATTAGCACCCAAGCCCTTACTGAAAATGTGTAGGCAGCTTTGAGATTATATTTTGTTCGAGCTATCACTTGAGAGACCTAAGAGAGCGGTGACTTGAACGCATGGTAACATTGAAATACTGTGATTTTCCTGTTGTCTCGGCGGAGTCGGCAGTGTGTTTCATGAGATTGAAGAAAAAATAAAAATATCTTTGAAAAAATATCTTTTTTCTCCCAATTTTAATTTACATTATCTGGAAACTTTTTTATTCACATAGGGAGAAAATTATTTCCCCATTTAAACATTCACTCCCACATTAAACTGAAAGAAAAACACTGCGCCGAAACCATTACACGTTGAACCGCCTCGCGAAGAACTTTATCCTTAATTTATTTTCCTAAAAAAAATCACGGTAGAATCTTAAAATTAATGACTCTTGATAGATTGCAGTTACGTTTTACAAAAAAAAAAAAAGAATAATATAAATGAAAAAATGAAAATAAACTATGAGTAAAATGTGGTTAGTAATAATCTTTTTAAGTTCTTTCAATCGAGATAATAAAAGAGAAATTTCACAATGTGGATACTTACTTCATTTTACCATATGAAAAGAAAGTATGTAACACTACAGTAAAACAGCTAACTATATAATACGAGAAAGTTACGTGAATGGAAAGGCATCGGATCTTTTTTGACATCAGTAATTTTGGGATTATACATCTACTGAGGCGAATAAAAGAAAAAGGAAAGAAAAATAAGGAATGGTGGCAAAAATAATATTTTAATAAAAAAAGAAAAAAAAAGATACCTATTAGAATAATAAGTAGAACTACAGCAATATGCATTCCCATTTTATATTTATTTTTCTCAGCTGAAGTTGATTTTCCATGTTTCAGGAGACTTGTCTCGTCTGAAGAACCTCTTAAAAAAATGGGAGAAAAATCCAGCGGAGACTAAACTTTTAGTAAATGCAGAATAAATGGTCTCAACATTTACAGCAAATGAAACAATGAGATTCACAATCATCGCATCGAAGGTATTGTTTCTCAATAAACTAAAAAATAACAGCAAAATGCAAACCGAAATGAACCGCTTATCATCTTAACTGACAGGGTGAAAATACTCGCTGCACATAAAAAATTCTCCGACACTGAACTTGACATGCGACTAATGAGCATTTCAGCTGAGATACATATGTATCAAAGATTATGTTAAACTCTCAAGGCTTCGAACATGGTCAACACAAAAACTATAAAACCTACTTTTTCCCCGTTTTAAAGATATAAGACTGACTGGAAAGTATAGAAATCTTCGATGAAAGATATCAAATCCAAAGCATTTTAGATTATATCATAAGAGGACCGAATCCTGCTGTCAGAGGTGTATAACCATTCATCATTCGTTCAGAGCTAAAAAAAAGTACATCCAGGCTACTATACTCTGGAGAATTCAAAATCGATTACAAGTAATTAAAGTAATTTCGGTGATATTACAAGGACCGCATCGGAGCACTAAGAACCGGCCTGGCCTATGGATCACAGATTAGAGTCTATCACATACCAGAAACACTCAATGGACCAAATCATAACCACAAGACGGAAAATTTAATTCGGGAGATTTCGCTAATTTGATATCAGTTGAAACCAAGGCAATGATATCACAAGCATCGCGTCCAGACTTCAACGCGGTCAAAAGCGCCGATCGACCCGCACGAAAATCGATGCTATTCCGCAATGAACACACCATGACTATACAGGGATATAAACTATTCACTCGAGAACTAGATTCGTTAAGTGCAGAAATAATATCAGTGACATCACAAGAATCGAAGTCTTGAATGGAGACGACCCAGATCGCGAACTTGAACCATAAGTATGTTAACGCACCCGGAGTGAGGGATCGACAGGGTAACGATACCGCATTAACGACATTAATAACGCCGGTTAATTAGGGCGCTAATGACGCCGAGACGCGTCCGGCCGCGGCGGCCCGCGGCAAAAAACGGAAAAACCCGCGCGACATTCAGACGGGGAAAAAAGAGAAATTAATGCAATCAGTCTCTTGGGCAGGCAAATTAAGTTACGTGCAGTGTTAAAAATGAACTGGATCCAGCAAGCTGCTAACTAACCTGGTTTTAGGTAGGTGGCAAACATTTAGTTAAAAGCGGAGTGCCATCGCCGACTAAAAATGACTAACCGAATTATTTTGAGATATACAAACCCTACCCGGATAATTCGAACTGGAGAGGATAATAGGTTTGCTGTCGCCTCAACCTTATGGATCACATCGCGCCGGGCCCCGCCCTCCGCGCGTCCGCCAATCGCGGCCCGGCGCCTCGTCGTCCGGGCCTCCCATTGGTGACCCCGACGGTCGTCATGGCGACGCGCGCGCGGAATGCTCCGGGTTAGCGGCGCCCGCCCCTCTCCTTCGGCGAATCTCCCTTGATCCCTTATCTCTCCGTTCGTGGCTCCGGCTCATCGTCCCAGATATGGGCCAATGGGATGTAAGCATAAGATTATGTTCACCCATGCTGCCGGAGTGATCGTCATCAACATAAAATTTGAAGAAATTATGCGTAAGATAATTTGTATTGCATTTTGCAAAAAGGAATCAAAAGCATTCCAATGTCGCTAAGAATGGGCAACTTTTTTCCCCCTGCAAATTTAAAATGATCAACTATACAAGTTTTGTCTTTACTCCCAATAAACTATAAATTCAATTCGAAAATTACCATAGTTAATTTAATTTTTTGCAAGGTTTCAGTAATTTTATTGTGAGGAATATAAGTTGTACAATTCTAGCAACATTGGAATGCTAGTGGTTCCTTTTTGCAAAATGCAATCCATTTTTACGAGGGATATGTATGGATTGCATTTTGCAAAAAGGAACCAAGAGGATTCCAATGTTGCTAGGATTGTGGGACTTACAATCTTTGCAATAAAATCACTGATATAATGCACAAAATCAAATTTACAAAGGTAGTTTTCGTCTTAAATTTATAGTTTATTGAAAGCAAAGATAAAATTTATTTGGGTAATCAGTTTATATTTGCAAGGTGAAAAAAGTTGCACAATTTTGGTGACATTGGAATGCTCGTGGTTCCTTTTTGCGAAATGCAATCCATGATGTTCACGTCCGATGTGTAAGAGTACGTGAAATTTTGGGCACCTAAAAGGAGATGGTGCTTGACATTTTCACGAAGCAGCTTGACAGGTATAATACGGTTATGTACATATAATAATCATTGCCCTGAACAGTGCTCATAAAAAATCGTAGCCCTATCTAGTCTTTCATAGATGTAGTTACGATGTTACTTTCGTGGTAAAAATTCTTTCGCTGCCGATAATAATGCTGACCAAAATGGCTTTGTTACCGTGTCCAAAAAATTGTCACCTAAACCTATGTTTACTAAAACCCGACAAAGAGCATCAAAATAGTATCTCACGAGCCAGCGCTCATTCTTTTTATTCG